AGGATGGCTGCTATCCAAAAGTCTACAAGCAATAAATGCTGGAGGGGGTGTGGAGAAAAGGGAACCCTCTTACACTGTTGGTGGGAATGCAAATTAGTACAGCCACTATGGAAAACAGTGTGGAGATTTCTTCAAAAGCTGGAAATAAGAGTGCCATATGACCCAGCAATACCACTTCTAGGCATACACACTGAGGAGACCAGATCTGAAAGAGACACCTTCACCCCAATGTTCATCGCAGCACTGTTTATAATAGCCAGGACATGGAAGCAACCCAGATGCCCATCAGCAGATGAATGGATGAGGAAACTGTGGTACATATACGCCATGGAATATTACTCAGCCATTAAAAAGAATTCATTTGAATCAGTTCTAATGAGATGGATGAAACTGGAGCCCATTATATAGAGCGAAGTAAGCCAGAAAGATAAAGACCATTACAGTATACTAACACATACATATGGAATTTAGAAAGATGGTAACGATAACCCTATATGCAAAACAGAAGAAGAGACTCAGTTGTATAGAACAGACTTGTGGACTTTGTGGGAGGCGAGGGTGGGATGTTTCAAGAGAACAGCATCGAAACATGTATATCTAGGGTGAAACAGATCACCAGCCCAGGTTGGATGCATGAGACAAGTGCTCGGGCCTGGTGCACTGGGAAGACCCAGAGGGATGGGGTGGAGAGGGAGGTGGGAGGGGGGACCAGGATGGGGAATACATGTAAATCCATGGCTAATGCATTTCAGTGTATGACAAAAACCACTGCAATGTTGTAAAGTAATTAGCCTCCAACTAATAAAAATAAATGGAAAAAAAATAAGTGAACAGCATATGCAGTGACATATTGGCATGTTCAAAGATGTGAAATTCAAATGGCAAAATCAGAGTTTTTATAAGAGAAAAGGGATGAGGGGAGATTTTGAAAAATTTACTAAAAGCCAGATTTTGAAGGGTTTTATATTCTGAACCAAAGACACTGGACTCAATTCTGTATGCAATAAAGCAGTAAAGGGAATTTTAAAATCAGACAGTGATTTGTGAATATCTGTTTATCAAGAGGTAGAACTGACTCATTTGAAAAGACCCAGATGCTGGGATAGATTGAAGGTGGGAGGAGAAGGGGATGACAGAGGATGCGATGGTTGGATGGCATCACTGACTCAATGGACATGAATTTGAGTAAACTCTGGGAGTTGGTCATGGACAGGGAGGCCTGGCATGCTGCACTCCATGGGGTTGCAGAGTTGGATACGACTGAGTGACTGAACTGAACTGAATTTTTAATAGTACACAGAGGATTAATTAGTAGCTAGTAGGAGACCCAAGAAAGAAATGTCCTCAGCCTTGGAAAGAAGATGGAAAAGAGGATTAATACTTGAGAGACTTTAATGAAATATAATTGACCGAATTTGCCTTTGGTTTGGTTTAAATTGTGAATGGGTTTGCGTAGGAGAAAGATCTTTGAAGTATGTGAGGTCACTACGGGTAACTAACTGGTCACTACGCATTCAGGCATGGTTTGAGAGAGTTGAAATAATGTGGATCTATGAGCTAAAGCAGAAAGTTCAAATGGAAAGTTAAGTTAGCCACGGGCAAAACTCTAATGGTAGGTTTCCATTCCAGACATTAGCTAGGTGTTATCTTTAGTAGAGTCTCCTTGTTCAGAGTATAGTAGGATTTCTGCAGGTATGACTGAATAAATTATCTTCTGACTCATTCTATATTGATCATATTTTATATCTCTTGACTTTCTGAAAAAGAAGAACACAAATTGAGAGTGCATATTTATATATTATACTCTTTTATTTTAAAAAAGAGTAATGAATTACACAGTAACAATATTTCTTTAAAATGCTAAAAATGGCTTAATTATTAAAAAAATATTCACTAGAAGTGAGGTACAGTGGTAGAGATTATATCCGCAGTCCTATGAAGTAAGAATAATTCATAATCTCACATTACAGGTGAAGAACATGAAGCTTGGAGAGTTTAATAACTGAGATTCAAACTCAGGTTCCAAAGCTCTAGACCCCATGCTCTAAACCGGTAGTTTTAAAGTATTACTGATGTCTAGATCCACCTCCAGAGAGTTTTACTTAATTGCCTCAAATGAGGCTCAGGCATTGGTCCTAAAACCTCCCTTGACAATTTTAATTGCAGCCAGAGATACACACCAGTGCTTTAAACCTTGTCACTTCATTGCCTCTTTTTTGGAAGATAATGCCTGGAAAATCCCATGGACCGAGGAGCCTGGTGGGCAACAGTCCATGGGGTCGCAAAGAGTGGGACACGACTGAGCGACTTCACTTCACGACATCGCACTAGTATCTGAATGGCTTCCCCTGGAGTTCAAGCGACTTAGTGCCCTGTGGAGCTGTGCGGCAGCTGTGCTTCAACACACATCCACCCTCTGAAAAATCCTTCAGCCACATGAGTTTCAATAAGAATAACTAACTGGAACTACTTTTACTTAAAGCCTTTCAGAGTTGGAAAAGTTTTCCTACCTCCTTTATGATTGTGTGATAGTTTTTCAGAACTTAAGAGATCCTGTATACATATCATAATACTTGTAAATCCATGGCTGATTCATGTCAATGTATGACAAAAACCACTACAGTATTGTAAAGTAATTAGCCTCCAACTAATAAAAATAAATGAAAAAAAAAAAGAATTACTACAATCAAAAAAGAAACTACTACCATCAATATATTTATTTGATTTTTTATAAGTATAATCAATCAGTAGAGTCACAGATCCAGAAATAGGCAGAATTCTTTAATTTTTGAAATGGAGAGCAATGCCATGGTGTTACTATGCAGGGTGCAGTTGTTGGGGAAAGGTAGGAATGATGTAGGCTTTGAAGGAGGGGAGTTAGAGCAACCTGTCATCCTCAGTTCTTACAGTTTCTTACTCCTTTTGAAAACCTTTAGCTTCATTTACTCCTGGGAGGACTTCACAAAGCTTCTGACCAACTAGAATTGGTCTAGGGATCTACTGGAAAACAACATGACAAAATCAAGGAAGGGTTAGGATAGAGGTAGGCCGAGAGTCTAGACAGAATAATCCAGCCGTAGTAATGTCGGGAAGATGTGCTGTCATCCTCAGACGCCATCCTGGACATTCCTAAATGGAGACAATGGGAACAGAACCAGAGCAACAAAGAGGTTAGCTCTTATGGAAAGAGAATGGGCACTACAGACAGACCTGTATTCAACCTAGCCTGATACTTCATTAGCTGTGTGACCTTGGGAAAAATAATTAACCTTTCTGAATTGCAATTTGCTCTTCCATAAAAGGAGGTGGTGATACTTTCTTCCCAGGTTTTATGTGAACACCTGAATGCGAAAAGTACCCAGCTCAGAGCTTCTTTTATTGATTTCTCTACCACACTGGCCTCAGGTGAAGCATAGTGGTAGCCAAAGCAGAAAAGTACAAGGGAAAGGCAACCATGGGGTAATTCAAAGAGGTGAAAATGAGGTAGGCCAGACAGGGAGCACTATTACAGTCTCGAAAGCTCCATTATAGCCATGGTCTCACAACATCAGTTCCATTTGTTTGCAGAAAGGGAATCACCATTGTAATGTTTCAGCCTCTTAATCATCTGGGAATAATTCAGCTCGCCTAGCTTATGGAAGGATCAGCTGGATACTCTGTAGGATCTCCTCAGAAAGAGCACAGGCTACCGTCATTTCATTTTCTAATGCTGCTGCCTGTTTTCATTTAATTAAGGAGGCTGACCTTTAGAGAGTTTTTTTTTTTTCATCCTTTGCTTATTTATGATCCTAATGGAAGCTGAAAATCTGATGGTAAAGAGGGCTGAGTTTTCACTGATAAGGCTAACACATTGTTCCTATCCTTACAAAGAAATGGCACAGGCATAATTATAGATGCATAAGCCAAATCCCTTTCAGATAAACCTAACCTTAAGCTGATGAGTAGGTGGGAACAGTAGGAAATGAATGATAAGCCCTAGAAGAATGTATATCAAAAAGACTACCAAAGAACTGAGGCCCTGAGAACCCATATCCTTGTAATGAGCTTTTACCCAAAACAAAGTACAGTCAGATTCTTACTCAATCCTTTAAACCTCTGGTGGTAGAGAAGTGACTACTTGTAACAACTGTTGTGTGTGGATTTGCTGTGCTCTTTAGATAGAAGGGCCAAATGAACCAGTGAGAAAGGGGCTGGTGACCTGTTAGGGTCAATGCCACAGGCCAGCAGCACTGCATACACTGCCTTTGCCAGTGGTTGTGTTGCCAGTGAATTTAAGGTTCTTTCTTCATCTCAAAAGATTTAGGAGATGAAACAGCTAAGGAAAGTAAAGTGAGAGTTTATTTAAGCAAGGATATGCCGTCAGAGTCAGACTTAGCAACTGAACACAAACAACATTCTCAGGGAGAGCTGGCAGACAGGTGAGCTACACCCTGGGTTTCTTTGGTAAGACAGTTATGAGGAGCCTACAATGAAGGGGCAGAATATTCACTGAAGGAGGACTCTGGGGGTCATCTTCTCAGATTTTCATCCCAGCTCCATTTTCTCCAGGGAAGGAGGGATTTTTGTCCTTATTGAACAGAGAGCAGAAGTGTCAAGGCAACAGCGCATGATGAGCACTTCTTATCTGTAAGGCTAATTTTACTGTAATGAGAGCACAAGCAGCAAAAGGTTACTTTAGGACTCACGAGATTCCCGCCTTTGCACCTTTCTTTGTCTGCTACTGGGACCCTTAACACCCAAAATGTGTGGTTTCCTGTCAGTCTGAAGGTGTCCGCTTTCCTTTGTCTGTCTATGGAACCACACTGTTTATGAGATGCAGGATTTCCTGTCACCTGGCCCCTGCCCCCATTTCTCTGCTCACACCTAGCTACCTGCCTGCTCTAACAGTTTTGGTGAGGTGCTCTGAGAGATTAGCGAGCAGGTGTGGACCCTCAAGCCCTGGGTGGAGCTGTAAGAACAGTCTGGCATTGGCTTTGCCCCGGATTTATCCACAAACTCCCATGATCCTCTGCGCAGGGCGTCCAAGAATGTCGTCGGAGAACCAAAGCCTAGGAGCCACGGCTGCTGGCGCCCCTGGTCCTTGTTCTTGGTGCCCTTTCCACTTTCTGTCAGGGAATACATTTCCTCTGGTCTTCACAGAGACCGTTCGCCTGGATGGAATGAGCTTTGTTACTGAAACAGAGGTGACTCAATCACCTGAAGTCCCGTTTGATGATGGAATACGGGCGCTGGCGGCGTCATTATGGGCGGAACACCACAGTGATGGCCCTCTTTCAGGTGATGATGAACTTAAGCCACTGGAGTTTGGGAACGACACTTCCTAGTTTTATCCAATTGGTGAGCAAGTCTTTAATCAGCTATCATTGGTTTATGGACGGATGACACAAAATAATACAATATCTACTGGAACTAAGCCTTTGGTCTCGAGAAATTGTGACGTTTGTGTCTCCCCGACCATGAGCACTTTTACTCCTGTAGCACAACAGTAGCAAGGAAGTATTGGGGCAAAGTTGGAGTATTTGAGACCCTTCTTTTGTAAAATATCATTAAATATCATTACACATGAAATGGAGCAAAGAGACGAATAAACAAAATGTAGATGGGATCTTTGAATAAATGCTTATGGGTAAATCTAAATCATAGTATTATACTCTCTAGTTTTCTCTGTCACTGTTACAGGTATATTTCCACTGAGTATGAAGAGAGAATATTTCTCATGTAGCTGATTGCCTTGCCCCAGGTGTTGGCATCACTAAATGAAGATCAGAAAACTATGAGACAATAAGCAGTGCTACACTTAAACAGCATCTTTCCCCACTTTTCTGCCCGTGGGTATTTTCAATCCATTGTAAATAATTTCTTTAGAAGTCACATAATTTGCCACGTATACCAATGAACTCCAGGAAAAAAGTGCCATAAACAAAATTGCTTTTGTGCATCTATTAGTGTTTATGGCTACAAACGCACACACACACAAACATATACACCTGCACACACCCACACGCATATGCTATCATTTAAAAAATACCCAAGAAGTCAAAGTCATTTTCAGCTTTGCGTTCAAGTATATAATAGATTCCTTCTCAAATCAGCTCATTATAAATTTAAGTGAAATTTGAGGCCACGTAGCACTCTTTATTGGAGAAGGAAATGGCAACCAATTCTAGTATTCTCACCTGGAGAATCCCAGGGACAGGGGAGTCTGGTGGGGTGCTGTCTATGGGGTCACACAGAGTCGGACACGACTGAAGTGACTTAGCAGCAGCAGTCCTTGTAGCATACTAGTCCTTAGCAGTGATATTGAAGAGTATATCATTGCAAAATTCAGACTTAAATTGAAGAAAGTAGGGAAAACCACTAGACCATTCAGGTATGACCTAAATCAAATCGCTTATGATTATACAGTGGAAGTAACAAATAGATTCAAGGGATTAGATCTGATAGACAGAGTGCCTGAGGAACTATGGATGGAGGTTTGTGACATTGTACAGGAGGCAGGGATCAAGACCATCCCCAAGAAAAAGAAAAGCAAAAAGGCAAAATGGTTGTCTGAGGAGGCCTTACAAATGGCTGTGAGTAGAAGAGAAGCCAAAGGAAAAGGAGATAAGGAAAGATATACCCATTGGAATGCAGAGTTCCAAAGAATAGCAAGGAAAGACAAGAAAGCCTTCCTCAGTGATCAGTGCAAAGAAATAGAGGAAAATAGAATGGGAAACACTAAAGATCTCTTCAAGAAAATTAGAGATACCAAGGGAACATTTCATGCAAACATGGGCTCAATGAAGGACAGAAATGGTATGGATCTAACAGAAGCAGAAGATATTGAGAAGAGGTGGCAAGAATACACAGAAGAGCTATACAAAAAAGATCTTCATGACCCAGATAATCACAAATGGTGATCCCCAACCTAGAGCCAGACATTCTTGAATGTGAAGTCAAGTGGGCCTTAGGAAGCATTACTAGGAACAAAGATAGTGGAGGTAATGGAATTCCAGTTGAGCTATTTCAACTCCTAAAAGATGATGCTGTAAAAGTGCTGCACTCAACATGCCAGCAAATTGGAAAGTGTAGCAGTAGCCACGGGTCTGGAAAAGGTCAGTTTTCATTCCAATCCCAAAGAAAGGCAATGCCAAAGAATGTTCAAACTACGCACAACTGCACTCATCTCACATGTCAGCAATGTAATGTTTAAAATTCTCCAAGCCAGGCTTCAGCAATATGTGAACCGTGTACTTCCAGATGTTCAAGCTGGTTTTAGAAAAGGCAGAGGAACCAGAAACCAAATTGCCAACACCCATTGGATCATTGAAAAAACAAGAGAATTCCAGAAAAACATCTATTTCTGCTTTATTGCCTATGCTGAAGCCTTTGACTGTGTGGATCACAACAAACTGTGGAAAATCCTTCAAGAGATGGAAACACCAGACCACATGACCTGCCTCTTGAGATGTGTATGCCAGTCAGGAAGCAACAGTTTGAACTGAACATGGAACAACAGACTGGTTCCAAATAGGGAAAGGAGTACATCAAGGCTGTATATTGTTACTCTGCTTATATAACTTATGTGCAGAGTACATCATGAGAAGTGCTGGGCTGGAGGAAGCAGAAACTGGAATCAAGATTGCCGGGAGAAATATCAATAACCTCAGATACACAGATGACACCATGCTTATGGCAGAAAGTGAAGAAGAACTAAAGAGTCTCTTGATGAAAGTGAAAGAGGAGAGTGAAAAAGTTGGCTTAAAGCCCAACATTCAGAAAACTAAGATCATAGCATCTGGTCCCATCACTTCATGGCAAATAGATGGGGAAACAGTTACAGACTTTATTATTTTGGGCTCCAGAATCACTGCAGATTGTGACTGCAGCCATGAAACTAAAAGACACTTGTTCCTTGGAAGAAAAGTTATGACCAACCTAGACAGCATATTAAGAAGCAAAGACATTACTTTGCCAACAAAGATCCATCTAGTCAAAGGTATGGTTTTTCCAGTAGTCATGTATGGATGTGAGAGTTGGACTACAAAGAAAGCTGAGCACTGAAGTATTGATGCTTTTGAACTGTGGTGTTGGAGAAGACTCTTGAGAGTCCCTTGGGCTGGAAGAAGATCCAACCAGTCCATCCTCAAGGAAATCAGTCTTGAATATTCATTGGAAGGACTGATGCTGAGGTTGAAACTCCAATACTTTGGCCACCTGATGTGAAGAGCTGACTCATTTGAAAAGACCATGATGCTGGGAAGGATTGAAGGCAGGAGGAGAAGGGGACAACAGAGGATGAGATGGTTGGATGGCATCACCAACTCAATGGACATGAGTTTGGGTAAACTCCGGGAGTTGGCAATGGACAGGGAGTCCTGACATGTTGTAGTCCATGGGGCTGCAAAGAGTCAGACACCACTGAGCGACTGAACTGAACTGATTTTTATTGGAGCTGGTGTGGCATTTAAATGTTCTTGCACCTGACATTAACAGTCACTGCACCTATCACAGTGGAAATAAAGTCTAACCACAAAGAAGGTACTAGGTGGGAGTGGGGTGAGTATGCAAATCCTTTATAAATGGCATGGGGAGAATCCTATAAAGACTTTTAACTTCTGTTTTTAGGATGACAGATATTTGCTTATGGAAGGATTTTTCTTATGTCTTCTTTACCTATCATTTTTTCCCCAGATATTACCAATATCTGCAGTATTTTTTTTTTCAGTTGATGTTATTATCCATATGGCAGATTTAACACAATGCCTGTCAGTTGCCTAAATCCTGCCCGGGAAAAGCAGTTTTGCACACACCTCCTAATGTATCATCTTAGCTCTTCCTTCTTTTTTTCAGGTAACATCTGTGAAGTTCACTGAAGCTGGTTGTTATCACTGCTGTCATGAACAAGTGATACTGGACTCCTCCCCAGAGAACAAGTGGCTTCTATTTAAAATTCACTTTTAGGTGAGTTTGTGGGACATCTTTGCTACATAGAAGGGTTCTTAGTAGAAAGCATCAGTGTCTTAACAAGAGAATATTGGTCTTGAATGTAAAGGACAAAAAGCAAGGTTTGTGCTGCATTGTAAATGAGTCAGGATGATCTAATATGGAGGTGCAGAGCATTCTTTTCTTCAGCATCTTATTGTTGCCAGATTAATAATAGCCAGGAGAGAGGGCAAATGCTGAAGAGACTATTTTCCTTTGTTGGTAATGGCAGCATGTGACTTTGAGTGTGTGTAGATGGGCAAATGGCTGTAATTCTGAGTCTAAAATAAGTTTTCTTTGATTCATATTTTAATTGAAAATGGAATAGTTATCTTTATTTCTAATCTCCTTTATTTTTTCTCTTCCTTTTGCTTTAAGAAAAGGCGAGAAACTGTGATTTTATCTCTTAATCTAATTCATAGCTGCTCCTCTTGCCAGAGAGAGAGAGAGAGAGAGAGAGAGAGTGAAAGGGAGGTCAGTGATAGAATGTCCAAATGTGACAACATGATACCAACATAGGCTGTAATCACAGAGTGAAAGTCTGTGCTCCAAGGGAGATGCAACGAAGAATGGAACAGAACAGAAAAGCTGGCACAGGTTTTATTTTTTCTAACAAGTATATATCAAAGGGTTGGCAGGTGCTGTCTTTAATGTTGTCTTGCAAAGGGCTGTAAAATCCACTCAAGGTTCTTACAAAGGCAAGAAATCTTTGTTGCCAGAGTGCCCTGCTGGTTTTTCTGTTGCACCTCTTAGGCATTACAGTACAGTGTGTGTACAGTAAGCCCCTGAAACAAATGGTGTTTGACTTAGGATCTCTGTTTACCCAGAACCAGCAGGGAACCTGACACATAATAATCACTTAAGAAATGTTTATTAAGTTCATTTGAAAATTGGATCTAAATGAGTTGTTCTTCTGGAACTCTAGAGGAAAGAGAGCATCAAGACCCCAAGATTCCAAAGTCTGTGGCTTATCCCAAATGAGGGTCTTGTATTTGATGAGAATATTTTCTGTACGATTGGGCAAAAGGTATGGGAAGAAATTGCACTTGCTAGTCAATGTCAGGAAATATAAACAAAGCATCAAAGAGAAAGCACAGAATTTGTACAGGGAGAGGAGGACATTTAAGAGAGCAGAAAAATCCACTTGTATAGACATTTGGGAAAATACAGGTGCAGGAAGGCAATAATAGGAAGGAAGATCCTGGGAGACTCATACAGGACTCCTAAGTGAGGATAACTTGGGTGTACAGATGTGTAGCCATGAATTTCAGAGGCCATACACACCTGTCTATGTGGCTGTGGCACATATGTATGTTGTTGGAATTGCTCATAAGCTCATATACAAAATTGACAGGTTTGA